TTGGGTCTCTGCATCACATTTTGGTAAATCTTGCAATATTTAAACTTTTTCATTATTAATATATTTGTTATGGTGGTCCGTGATCAGCAATTACCACTTATTGAAAGCTCAGATGATCGTTAGCATTTTTTAGCAATTTTTTTTAAAGGTATGTACATTTTTTTAGACCTAATGCTACTGCACACTTAACAGGTTACCATAAAAACATAACTGTTATATGCACTGAAGCCAAAAATTTCATCTGATTTGCTCCGTTGCAGTGGTCTGGAACCGAACGTGTGATATTGCTGAGGTATGTCTGTAGTCACCTACAGAATGTGTGCCAAAAGAATGGCAGGTGGGTGGGATTGTAACTGATCCAAGATTGGTAGCCCTCTCCCTGACCCCCTTCCCAGTGTATTCACAGTCCTTACCATGGGGATGGTACCATGGCGTGGCTCTTTAGAGGGGCTGACAGATCACAGCTCGAATTCACCTTCTCAGCCATAAAGTCACATTTTTCAGCCTCTTCTGGGTGCCATACCCAGTAAGATTTTAAGGAACATGCCTTGGGGAAAGCCATCAATCCTGGCCCTACTGTTCTAACTTCAATTCACGTTCACCGTTTCAACATCATTGCAGCCACCCACACCGTCACTATACTCTGGTACAGAGTGATCTTTGTGAAACCTCTGCTCATCTGCAAGAGGTCTTCTCTCAGCTTCCTTTATGCCACTACAGTAGCCTGCACTGCCCCCTTTGATGGATGTGTCATACTACATTGTCATTTTTGTCTAGCTTTGGTGGTAGCTGTGAACTTTTGGAGGTCAGGGTATCAGGGTCTAGCACAGTGCTATGCACTAAATGTAGAACAAACCAAACAACCAAATGTTATCGATGATACAAAAAGTCAGGGGAGAGTACAGGTAAAGATCATGTGAACCAACACCTTCAAAAGTAAGACAGGGAACCAGTTAGGAGATATATACCACCTTACAAAAACCAAAAATGACCAGTTCACACTCTGAAAGATAAGGGAACTTACTAGCGATCATTCAGTGGCAGGTCAAGGCCTAGAACCTGGCCCACTGAGGTCGAGGACAATGATCTCTGCACCAATGTGAAACCATCCCATTCTTCCCCCATCAACATAGCCCTGCTGCATAAGGAACACATTCAAGTTTTTGCAACTCTGTTTTCATGCTGTCTCTCCCAATAAATTACTCAATCCACTCCATTGTCAGCTTAGATTTCAGGGCAAAGTTTATTTGAAGAAATTAAGTAACTGTGAAAATCTCCCCATTCCAGTATCTACTCTTCTCTCTCTCAAGGGGCTATCGTGTGAGTGGGATGGAAAGGAAGAGTGTGTGGTCCTACTGTGCAGTCACTCTCCAGCCTTCTGTATGCGCTGTCTCAGCCTCTGACAACAGACACTTGTTCAAAACAGTGGTGCTACCCTGAGAGCATTTTAGGTCGGTGGCCACCTCCTGAGTTCACTGGTCACATTCCAATCACTGTGATCAATATATGGGTGATCAGTGGTGGACACAGGTAAACAAGAGGCACAGACTGTTGAGGAAATACCCTCTGTTAAAAAGAGGGTTCTAGGAATGACACCTGGAATGCTCAAGTTTGTTAAAGTGCTCAACTACCACATTAAAAATAGAAGTGTTGGGAAGGTGAGAGAGCAAGTTATGATCTGAGGAGCTTCTGGAAAGATCTAACAAAAGAAAGCACATAAAAAGAACTCTACCTAAATCATTTCAGCAATGACAAGGGCGAAAACACAGAGCTTATTAGTTTCGGAATCACTAGACCTTAGAATCAAACATCCCTACGTGGAGACCATCCCTACGTGGAGACCAGCTCCTTTAACTCCTCGTGGAGACCAAACATTTAATCGTCACGTCTTTTTGCTCTCTTTTCTCAGCAAACTCTTAATCTGAAATCTGGTTTACTGTATGAAAGGTCTATTATGGGCAAGTGATCAAATTATGTATGCCCTATACACCACCTTCTGATGGGGTGGTTAGCAAACCTCGAGATGAGAAAACTGAATTCCCAAATCTGACAGGTCGACGCCCACACTTAAGAACAAGATGTCCAGGATATATCTATTCTCTTGGCATGATTTCAAGATCCGAGAGTGGGGTGCAATGGTGGTGAGGGGAAAGTGTCCATCAGCAGCAGTGGCTCTCCGGCACTAGAAATTAGTGCATGGCCTCAGCAGTCAGTTGTAAGTCCAGTGAGCAGTGGCCCAGCCCTGGCCCTTGCACAGGTCCCGATGGCGAAGGAAACAGGCATGGACTCGGAACCGACGGCCGCAATGGGGGCAGGCATGCAGGGCTCCAGCGTGGGTCTTCATGTGCTCCGTCAGATGGTGCTTCAGCTTGAAGCGCTTATTGCAGACGCCACAGCCAAAGGGCCGAAGGCTGAAGGTCAGCATGATGTGACGGTCACGCTTTGGCTTCACTGCAAACCGCTTCCCACACAAGCAACCGAAGCGTTTTCCATCTGCGGGGGGTGTACCTCCTAACTTCACAGGCCCGTGCACAGCCTGTCCTGCCCCCCCAGGTCCCCCACCCCCTGAGAGGATTTCATTCCCATGAAGATCCACTGGTTTCCAGGATGGACCTCCTCCTCCTCCTCCTCCTCCATATGTCGCCCCTGCTCCCGAGGGCAGCAAGAACCCTAGCTCTCCATTCCCTTCAGCGTCCCCTCCAGGAAACACTTTGGTCTCCTCCTTTGCTCCTCCAGATTGAGTTCCACCTGTTGATATCTCTTCTTTAGGCTCAGAGGGCTCCTGCTTAATGTAGAAGACTTTGGGGGGCAGTGCAGTATGAGGGGCAGGAGGCTCGAGGGGTGCGCTCTCGCCCTCTGGAACCCTGCGGGGCGTAGTGGATACGGGCAGTGAGTGAGATCCATGAGGGCAGGGAAAGCTTCCTGATACTCTCGGGGGCTGAGGAGTCTGGGAGGGTGCTGTTGACGCCTGGTCCTCCTCCTCCTCCTCCTCTTCTTCCTCCTCCTCCTCCTCCTCTTCCTCAACTTGAATCTGTAACACATCGCCCAGTTCGCTCCCCTCCCCTAAAACGGGGCTCTCGGTAGAAGTGGAAGACTGCACTGGGGTCTGGAAAGGGGAAGAGCGAATGCACCAGCCTCCTGGAGAGGATGTGGTGGAAGGAAGTGTGTGGTAAGAGGTCGCCCCCCGGGCTGAAATTCCACCGCCTGAGTTTTCTAGTTCTCTAAGAATCTCTGAGCACTGATCTACTACTTGCCACATCTGCAGGCCACTGGCCACGAGGAGGTGGGCAGGGAGAGCATCCAGTGGCAGACGGAGGCGCCCGGAATAAATGAGCTGGAGCAGCCCCTCGAAGGCATCGGCTTCAATGACGCTGGGCAGAGTGAGACGTGGCGCATCCCCCAGAAGAAGTTTGTCATGGAAGTAAGGAGAGGCAGCAGCCAACACTGCTTTGTGAGCCCTAAGTTCCCGGCCCTGCACCAAGAGGGACACATCACAGAACTTGCCCTCTAGCCTGTGGCGGTTCAGGGCCTCCAGCAGCAGGGAGCTATGCTGCGGGAACTCGATCTGGATCGTCCGCGGGGCTGGGTTGCAGATCGGGGAGGGGGGGACGGGAGGCAAAGGCGTCGAGGTATCCATATGGCCTCCTCAGAAAGAGAGATCCCAGAGGATCGAATACGGGAGATGAGGGGCTGGGGGCGGAGCCCACGCGGGACGAAGGCTGTGGAGGAAAGAGACGGGGGTCACAGAAGCTCTGGGTAAGGGGAACCACGTCTCCTCACACAGCACTCGCCTCCCCAACCCAACATGTGGAAACTTTGCAGTCAGTGGCGATTTCCGCAGATCAATCCCGCGCACTCCCCCACCAAGGAAATAAGAACTAAACAACCACAGCAAAAGACCAACCGGGGTTTAACTTCCAGGGCCTGTGAAGGAGGATGAGGAGGTCCTTCCAGCCACGCGCCTGACCTCGCCGGCCCCCGACGGCTCCTGCCCTCCGCTCCGCTCCTTCTCACGGTGCCCTGAGAGCCCGGCTCCCGGGAAGCCGCGGCCACCGGGAGACCTTGAGTGACGGCCGAGAGGCCCTTCCCGCCGCCACGCCCCCGCCGGTACACACGCGGCTCTGGACCAGAGTGCCTTTGCGGCCACCTCGCCGTCCCAGGCCGGAAGCCACCGCCTTCCCGCCGGACGCCAACGCCGGGTGGTGGGCGGTGCCAGAGCCGCAGCCAATCGGAGGGCAGTGGCCTAAAAGCCTCGTGCTGATTGGTTGCGCGGGCGAGAAGGCGGGGCTAGCAGGAGGTCGCTGGCCCCTACGCGGCTGCGGATGGGGTGGCCTCTACTGGGGGAGGACCGCAAAAGCCAGACCTCCGGAGAGCACAGCTCGGAGGGAGGGGGGAGACTCAAAAGTCGTAGGGTGATTAAATGTAGCCCCCGTCCCCCGGTAGGTGCTGAGAAGGCGAGTTTAATTCGGTACCTACTGTGCGGGCCACGTACTGTCCACACATCTCCTTGTATCCTCCCCCAGCCCTGGAAGATAGATGTCGCGATCCTCAGTTTTCTTGGGGGAAACCGAGGCTGCCAAGTGACGGGTCTGGGATTGGAACTCAGATTTGCTGAGGCACCAAGTTCTTTCCTCCATTCCGTAGGGTAGCATTTTAACCAGCAATTAAATAAACCTTATTTCTAGGTGATCACTAAACGTGCGTGTGTAACATAACTTGGAATTTATCAGATACTGTTCCTGTTCCTTGGCCTCTTTACTCCTTCGGGTTAAGTGGAGCAGTGCGGAGGAGAGACCTAGATTGGGTAAGCTTGGCCAGTGCAAACCCCCTGCTCAAAAACACAGTAGTCTCATCGCTGGGTGGGAGAGAGATTCTGGGGAATACCGTGGCATCACGCAGGGATATAGTTTCTTCCAGCAGGTCACCTTCCTATGAAAAAGCAGATCCCGTCACTTGCTGGTCTGTCTGGAAGTCGCAGCTTAGGAAAATCAGTACAGCGATAAAAGAACAATCTCCGTTTATTAAACATGATTTTTCTGTTTCACCACACACTCCAGAAAAAAAGGAAATGGGGCTGGGAGTGGAGAAAAAGGGATAGTGGTGAAGGACAGAGAAGGCTGGGAGTGGGGTGGGACAGGGTGGGGAGGGAGAACGAGAAAACAAAATAAAACAAGTAGGAAGAGCATCTCCCTACCCTTAGGGTGGTGGAGGGGGAGGGACGCGTGGGGGGGGAGGGGGCCAGGAAGCTCTGTACAGAGGGGTTGCCCCCAGCCCACACACACACACCCCCGATATGTACAGTACAAACCCCAGATAATTACAACAGCCAAAGAGAAGAGGAAAGAGGATCCAGGGGTAGGGTCTGAGGTTGGGAAAGCAAGGAGAGGGCACAGGGATAAAATTTCACATATTTACAACTTTTATATAAGTATAAATTTGGCCCCGGCTGGGTGTATGTGTGTAGGGGGATGGGACTGAAGGGGAACTGTCCATACAAAAGAAAGAAGGGTGAAGTCTGGAAAGAGTCTCAATACCAAACGCAAGAAGGGATGAGGGGGCAAGGCTGGGTAGGGGACAGCAGTCAGGGAAGAGGGGGTGCCAAGGAGGGGCTTCTCCCCTCCCATGACCTACCCACCCTAAACCCCATCCATCCTACCTCCCCTATCCCGCCAGAGAGCTATGTACAGAGAAACACCGAAAAATTGTGGAGCTGGCGGGAGGGAGGGAGGTGGAGGGAGATTGGGGAGGGGGGAGGATGAGAGGGAAGCCCAGCCCTGTCCTACCTCCCCCGGGGGGGGGGGACAGAGTCATGGAAGGGGGCCCCCAACACCCCTCCTCCAACACAGGTCCCCCCACCCCGGGGGAGAGAGACATGGCTTTTCCTAGAGTAAGTTCCCCCCTCCCCCTGGGAGTAGAGACCAAGAAGAGAGAGGGGGAGGGACAAGGGGGGCTGTGTGTGTCAGGGTAGGGCAGATCAACTAGTCTGTCCTCCCTAACATACACACCCTCCTAGACCCTAACCCCTCACCCTAACCTCAATTCCACCCCACCCAACACACTGGGGGAGGGGGGGGCATAAGCCCCCTCACCCCGCTCTGGGACCAGCCAAGAGCAGATCAGGTGTGGGAGGAAGGGGAGATGACTCCCATTCCCCCCTTGCCGCCCCCTCCCTGCCCCGGTGGCCCCTCCACCCCATCTGGGTTCTGGGTGGGGAGGGAGTAAATTTAAGAGTAGGAGGAGGAGAAGGAGTTTGTGCGTGCTGAGCCCCCCCAGACGCTCCTGAGAAATCAAGGGGTAATAGGGCCCCCTCACCTGGGGTCCCCTCCCCATAACAAGGGGGACAGGGGAGGCCAAAATGGGGCGGTGGAGGGGAATTAGATTGTCAGCTCTGGTTACTGCTAAAAAATCACCCTGAAGTTGAAAGTTTGGAGGTGCCACACCCCCAGGGTGGGGGCGAGGGTCTGTCCCCCAGTGCTCAGGGGAACGATGAGGCAGAGGATGGGGATAGCACCCCGGAGTGAAGGGGTCTGTGTGGGGTAGGTGGTGTCCTGGGGCAAGGGTCCCTGGGGGTCACAGGGGGCAGCACCCCAACAGGAAGGAAAAGGGGACAGCTAAGGGTCCCCACTCTCCCTCCTGGAAATGGTGCGGTGGGGGTGGGGGATTGATGCCCCCCAAGGAGGCATTCAGGGAGGCAATCCCGCTGTCCCTCGGCGATATCCAGTCCTGGTGGTGGGTGCTGTTCCAGGGTGGGGTGCATGGGGAAGGAGAAGAAGGTCTGTGATGCTGGGTGGGCTAGTGGTCTGCGGTGTTTCGGAACTCGCCGTTCTCGGTGATCTGCAGCCGGGGTGGAGGGGGCGGTGCTGGGGGGGCCAGGCCGTTCCAAGGTGGGGCCAGCGTCACACGCGGGTTTGTTGGACCCAAGGGGGGAAGCTGCCTCTCCTGCAAGACACCAAAGAGGAGAGCGCGGACTTATTGAGACGCTTCGCGGGGGCCTGGGTGTCAGCCCCCTTAGCCGTAGCCTCCCCCATAGCCAGCCCATTCCATGAATCATGTCCTCCCACCTTCCCCCAAGACAACCCCCCACCCCCATCCTCCTATTGTGTTTCTCACCTGCAGTAGAAGTTACATCTTCTGGGATCAGGGAGAAGGGAATCTCACCCCAGACTCCTAATGGGCCTTCCAACCCAGGGAGTCATACCGGGAAACCAGTCGAAAGAAACAAGTTCCTACCTCACCCCCAACCTAAGCCCTTGCATCTTCCCCCTACCCAGCCTCCCTCCTCCTCTTGGCACCCCCTCCCAGCCCACCCCCAATCCGAGGTAGGAACTTTGTATTGAGGGAACAAGGGGAGGCAGTACAGCAAAACCTCATTAATCCAGACCCCCATGGATTTGGAATTTTTTCATAATTTGAACAAAAACTGGGCTTGAGTTTTCCTTTATCTATGAAGAAAGGGCGTGCTAAGCACATTAATAGTGGAAACGTGTCTGTAGGAGGGTACGAGCAAACAGACTTCTGAATCCTATCTATTCATTAACGCATGCTCCCTGAGGGCCTGGAGTGGAAAAGCCTTGTTCACCGAGTTCTACTTACTGTACGTATTTTGAAGACACGCATTTCATTAAATGTTAGACACTGTTATTCAGTTTTGTCACTTATTCAGAGTGGCCATCTTCCCAATATAACACTCCAAATTAGAGAGGTTTAACTGTACTGGGCTGGGGCGGGGGGCGGGGGGGGGGAAGGGGGATTCAGGGAAGTCATGTGGGATGGTAAAAACATCGTGGGAGGGCTGCTTCTCTCTCGTGCTAAGGGCAGAAATGACTGGGAGCTTCTGCAGAGGCACAGCATGCCACAATCTCCGCATCCCCAGGAAGCAGAACTGCTTCATTCCTTTCCGCCCCCAGGATCCTTTCAATCCCTCTGCCTGGGATCCCAGTTAGAGGGTGAGGGGTATCAGACCCTCCTCCCACCCCTGGTCCTATTCTATCACCTCCTCCTGCTCCTGGACCAGCTCCTGGCTTCTGGCTCCTGCCCCCAGCTCTGGCTGCTGTTCCTCCGCTAGGAGAGAAGAAAGCCACCTGTTCTATACTTCTGGTTGCTCATTTGGCTTTTTAAAATACAGGCACAGAATTAGTTTTTAAGTCAATGGCTAAATTGCAGAGGGACCAATACCTAAGAGTGATTTAGAAAGTGTCCAGGGGTGCCTGGGTGGCTCTCAGCTGGTTAAGCATTTGCCTCTTGATCTCGGCTCAGATCATGATCTCACAGTCCGTGAGACGGAGACCCATGTCAGACTCTGTGCTGACAGTGCAGAGCCTGCTTGGGATTCTCTCTTTTTCTTTCTCTCTGCCCCTCCATCCTGCTCATTATGCATGTGCGCGCGCTCTCTCTCTCTCTCTCTCTCTCTCTCTCTCAAAATGAATAAATACACTTAAAAAAATGTTAAAAAAAACAAACGCATCCAAATTGTTTCTTGGGCCACAGGGCATTTAGGCCTAGCAGCCTGGTTCTGCGTAACCGTATCTCTATAGGATACAAAACATTCCCAGTAGAGGCTCCCAGATCGGCTCTCCCTTTCAAATCAAAGACCTCACCTCTCAGAAGGTCACCAAAGCCTCAGCCCTAAGCAAAGCTCCCCTCTTAGCTTGCTGAGCATCTTGCACACTTTCCCCAAGTCAGCAAGAGAGGAAATTACGTATGGTAGGGGATCCTGAGTGTGGCAGGAGAGCAGGGAAGGGAACCTCAGATTCCCTTCCCTCTGCCTATCTGCCGGCAACAGAACACAGGCATGCCCCCTACACCCCCATGGACCCAAATTTAGAAAGTAGATAAATTAGGGCGCCATTATTCATTTTACAAAAGAATTCGCGGCAGGAGTCCTGCAAGTGGTGAGGTCCCCTGGTGACTCGTAGCATCTGTTTGCAGATCACTAACTACTTTGACGGAGAGGCTGGGCAGGCAGAGAGTTAAAATTACAGTGTGAGGAGCCACTGCCCACTGCAGGTCAATCCCGCAGAAAAGAAAGCACCCCAGAAATGGTATCAGTGGCTGACAGGTTCCCATTTACTGGGTTTTAGGTAGGACCGTGTGTCCGGCAAGGCCACTGGGTGGCGGGAGATGGGGGGTGAGCTCCGATAAGGACGGACAGGTTATTTAACATGCTGTTCCCGGCATCTCTGCCTGGAAATCCACATGGCTACTGAGCCCATGATCTTATCTAGGAAGACGGCTCACCCCACTTCCAACTCCCACGCCACATGGGCCCGTCTGCACCCTAACATCTGTCAGGGCTCCTTTTTTGTTTCTCCTTGTTCCACTCACCCTGCCTAGTATCCTGACATCCTGAACAGCATTCTTTTCAGCCCCCCCAAAAGTCTTCCTGAGTCAGTTGCCCATTCCTAACTCTCACCCATTGGGGCCCAACAGGAGCTACAGATCCCTTCCACTCAGATATAAGGGAGGAGGAAGAGAAACGGGTGAGGGGTAGAAGGAGGGATGGAGAACGGAGGTTAGGGAAGGAAGGGGAAACCCCCACCTACCTGCTGCAGTCAGCACAGCCCCTCTAGCCAGGGTCCCCCAACCCATCATCACCGCCACCCCTTAACAAAGCCCACCTCCAAAGTCCCAACTCCCAAGGACGCTCTGGTGAAATGGGGGGTGACAGACATACACCGGAGAGGCAGAGGGAGAGGACCGAGAGGAGGTTGGGCGGCGGGTTTTGTAGGAGAGATCTGGGGATGTGCCAGGCCTGTCCAGGGCAAAATGCTTGGTGTTGGCAGGGTGTCACTGAGCATTTCTGGGAGCAGCAGGGAGTGCTCTCTTTGGGCAGTGCCTTGGGAGCCGGGTCTGTGCAGGAGGTGTCAGGAGGGTAGGGTCTGTGGAGGTTCTCGGGTGTGGAGGGCAGCAGTGAGGGTGGGGAGAGGCTCCAGAGAGTTGGAGGGGAGCGGGCTTCACGACCAACCTGCAGTGGTCCGGAGTCACCTCCCCCTGTGTCCTCCGCCCGTGGTCAAAGCGGAACCAGGAGAGTTACCTGATGAGGAGCTGCAGGGGGAGAGAGTGGGGTCACGGGGTCAGGAGCCTTGGCGGTGGTGGTGGGGAAGCCTGGCGGTCAGAGCAGAGGAAGGAGGAGCATGGGTGGGAAAGTGAGCAGAACTGGGGTGAGCAAGGGGTAAGGGTGCAGGAGGGAGGTCCTACAAGCTGGCTGAGGAGAGAGGGAGGGCGGCAGGGAGCTGGAGGGCTAGACAGGTGTGAGGACCAGAGGGAGGGATTTTCATACTGAGGGAAGGAGAGCTTTCAAGGTGAGAGGGGCCTTCAAGAGCTGAAGAGTCAGAAGAGGAAGCTATTAGGGAGTTGCCCAGGAGACAGGAAAATTGGGGAGCCAAGAGAACAGAGGTGATGGGGACCATTCAGAGCCTGGGAACTGGAACTCACCCTGCCCTGTGCTCTAGTCTAGTCAACTGCAGCCTCTAGCGCTTCTGGCCCAAGATGAGCTCAGAGGAAGCTGAACTCCCGAGGTGAACAGGTGCAGGCACAGACAGGGCAGGGGTGCCAGGAACTGGGTGGGGTGGGGTCTGGGGGCAGAGAGACTGAGGTTCTGGTGGAGATTCCGAGACCCAGAGAGGAGCGGGAGAGACGGGGTAGGAAGGCACAGGGGTGGGGCTGACACTGCCAGGAGTGACAAAGGCACAGACGATGGGATGAAGATGGGGTCACCGGGGAGCACAAACGGAGGACAGTGGGAGACAGATGGTGATGGGGCCGGGTGGCTGGTGCAGTGAGTGCACGAAGGACAGTGGGATGGATGGGGATGGGACACGGAGAAGATAAATGACATTGTAATTTCCACCTGAGCGTCGAGCAGCCTCTTCTTGGGTTCGGGCAGCGGCTCAGGCATGGCGGGGTGGTCCCGGCGCAGCTCCTCCTCCACCAGCATCAGCCTGAAGGGACGGGCTTCAGTGGGGTTAGTGGCGGGCACGGGCTTGGAGCCTGCCGGTGGAACTCCTGATCCTGGGGAACCCCTGCAGCTCTCTGGAAAAGCCTGGGAGTCCTTCTCCTCTGCCCTCGAATCCTTCCGTCATTATGACCCAAAAGACACCCTGCAGTAACCTTCCTCTCAAGGACTCTCCCGTGCTAAGGACAGCTTTCTGGGCCTCGAAGACCTCCGCCACGCAGACACCCCCGGCACTCCGTCCTCCCACTCAGGATGGTGCCCTCCCACTGCCCCTCTGTAGCTGAGCTTCTGCATTTCCCATTCCATGTCCCCGAACCCAGGCCATCTCCAGTACAGCCCCTGGGACACCCCTAGCCCAAGAGCAGTGTCGACAATCATCATTCCCCGCATCTCCCTGCCTTTGATGAAGGCTCTCAAGGTGATTTCTCGCCGAGGATATCAATTAGAGAAGGGTTTGAAAACAAGTTTCAAGTCAGGCCTTTCTCCTTCTAATCAATCTTACTCAAATATACATTCAGAGTGAACCAAAGTGGGATTGGCCCTGATTTGAGTGGGGCGTGGGGTCCCAGGACAGCTAACCACCTTGCCAGGATACCTTCTTTGGAGGCCAGGGCTTGGCAGAGCAGTGCAAGTGTGCACGCACTCCACTCAAAGCAGGGTCATTCGCTTTCTAACAGAGCACCTTTTCAAGGCTGGAGAGAAAGGGTTTACCGAGGATGGGGATAGCCAGGGACTGCTCTGGCTGGGGCTCTCTGCCTCACTTTGGGGAGAACATCACAGGCTAGGTTGAGAATAACCAGTGGGAGGCTGCAGCCTAGGCTGGGGCCAGACACATAGTAATGGACGGTAACAAGCACATTTTCCAAGGGCTTCAAAGGTCAATCTCTCAGGAGAGAGATCGGGGTTTGGGAGAGGAACACTTGTGCACTAAGCAAGAGGTTTCTCCCCATCGGGTGACCAGTGAATGGGTGGCAATCTCTGGGAGTGGGGTGGTGGGCTTTCCTCATGGGACCCTGAGTTTGGGGCTTGAGGCTAAAGGGGGAGCTCACTGGCTCTCTTCAGCCTCAGGTTCTCCCTCGCTACCCCTCCCCAGGCCGCCCCTCACCTGCCAATGATGCTCTTGATCTGCGAATCCTTCTCCACCTGCTGCTGCCTTAGCCTCTTCTCGCTCTGCTCCAGTCTGGCCTGATACTGCATCAAGATTTTGCTGGTCTGCTCTTCCTGGGACAGCAGCCTCCGCTCATACTCTTCTAGCTTCCGGTTGGACATGTGCAGCCGCTCCTTCAGTGAGTGGATCTCCTCCTCATACTCCTTCACCTGCCCGCCGGGCACACGACCCCGCACTGTGAGGGGTGCCTCACCCTGACCCCACCACCCAGTCTCCATCCTTGCCTACCAAGCAGCCACTGCATGGTGAGGGACATCCCAGCTGGCTTCTCCAGACCCTTCCCTGCCTGCTCATCATACCAGACATAGTAGCTTCTGAGAAGGCCCTCCCATGGAGCCAAGGCTCCTTTAAAATGGACCAAGGTCATATGCTCCTACACCGAGAAGCACAGACCCGCCATCACATGTAAATCTGGACACGTGAGGACCCACACAGACTCACGGACACACCTTGAAGGACTGTGCACAGAAATTAAACATTAAGGTGACTCTTCAACCCAACCAGGGCACATTAGGGAGACCCAGGAAGAAAAGACATCAGATAAGAAGAGGCGATGTGGGGTCAGGGAGGGGTCTGGGCTTCAAACAAGTCGAGGATGAGAATCTAGGAATGCCTCTCTGTTGCTAATGATCCTGGAATTCTGGGGCTGGAAGGGCACAGAAGAGTCATTTTTATCTGCCCTGTTGGCTCTAGAGCCTAGAGCTGTGCTATCTGATACAGTAGCCACTCGCCACATGTGGCTATTTAAAATTTTTAAAAAATTTAAAATTCAGTTCCTTGGTTGCATCAGCCACGTGTGGCCAGTGGCTACCACGCTGGACGGTGCAAATCACAGGACACTTCCCATTACTGCAGAAAGTTCCACTGGACGGTACTAGTCTAGAGCCTTCATCAACAAAAATATCTCACCCAAGCCATAGAACAGAAAAAAATGACTTAGGAGAGTATTTTCTCATTCTCCAGAGAGAATACATACATAACGAACCCCATTCTAGATGCAAAGCAGAGACGTTATATATTACCTGAGCTGGCTACCTTGATGCATCAGAGCTCGACTCTCTCACGGAACTTGCTACACCGAGTCCACCTAGATCAGTCCCGACATTTTCTTATGCTCAAAGACCACATGCCCCAAGAAACCTTTCTCTGCTCCACCCAGGTTGGAGTCAGACATTCTTCACAATAACCTAATCTTACAGCTACCCTCTTCTTCAGAGCCCTTGGAGCAACAGCTTCCCCAAGGAACTTTCTGCTAAGTCATCTGTGTGTGCCCCTGAGCTCTTGCTGTCTTTTGCTCTGGGCATCACCAAGCTGAGAGTCCAGACGGTTTTTCCACACACAGGCCAAGTCATGCCACTTTCCAACACCGACCCTCTGTCACCCTATGCCCACAGGACAATGACTGGGTAAGCTGGACATCGCTTGTAGTGTAACTGTAACTGCTGTGCCCCCTGCCCAATTTATCAGCTCACACTGCTGGCAAATCCACTTCCCCTTTCCCGAGTAGTCACAAGAGCCAGGGCTTATGTTCCCCCCTGGGGAAGAACACAGAAATAAACCTTAATATAGAATCTTTCTCCCCAGACAGTCTATGACACGCCACAAAATAAAGCTGGACGTTGGCCTTCCGATAGACTGACTGTCGACAGCCTCCCCTGATACACTGAAGGCTTCTCACGGAAGGGGATCAGGTCTTTGTCTCTTCTTTCTCCCGTAATTACTTGACCCTGGGTACATCCCTGGGAGGCATCTAGAGGCTTCCCCTCTGGGTAACGGGAAGGTCAGGGGCCCGGCGTACCCTGTCCAGCCGGCTCTCATCCATCGACTTAGAGTACTCCTTGAGCTTGTACTCTTCTCGCTCGATGTGGGCACTCTCGATGTCAGCTGACAGGTGAGGCATGTTGGAGACCCAGGCCACCGTTCGCTCGGAGGCGGGCATTGTGGGGTTCAGCGTGGATGGCGCCTGAGAATGCTGGGATGGGGCAAGGTGGGGGTGAATAGAAAGGAAAGGTGGGAGAAGGCAGGGTGCATTTAGAAGGAGACAGCGCTGCCAAAGGAGATGACCGTCCCAACCTTGTTCCCCTGCTCTAGTGTTGATCTCCTTGAATCCACAGCGCCTAGAACAGGACGTAGCGCATAGCAGGGACTCTACATACACTTGTTTAATGAATGAAAAGGGGTGAGAAAATTGTACCTTCAGACCACAGACTCTATTCTGCCCCCACGTCCCCACCCCATTTCCTTCTTCCCTCCCTGGCCCTCACCCACTTGGCCTTCCTCCCACCCTCACGTACCTGCTTGGTGATGGAGGGCTTGAGCCCCCCACCCCCTCCGCCACCGCTGCCCCCGCTGCCCCCAATGCTGCCCTCTTTGCTGAGGCTTTGTTGCCGCGGACGGGCAGGGCCGTAACTCGGCTCCGGTGACTGCAACAGATTCCCACTGGATGGCCGGGGTTTCTGGGCAGCGCTGACCGTCAACTGCTGAGACTTGCCCCTCTGCAATGGAGGCGGCTGGCCCCCGCCACCCCCACCACTGCCCCCACCACCGCTCCCACCTCCGGGCCCTGAGGGGGCGGGCCTCTGGGGACCAATAGTGATCTGGGGAGGGGACAGCATGTGCTGCAGGTTGTCCTGGAGTGAGAGCTGCCGACGGGTGAAGTCGGTGCCAGAGGGTCCAAACTCATCACTGTAGCTGTGGCTGTGAAGGATGGAAGCGGCGGGGGGCTTGGGGACCCCTGAGGAGAGGTCCTCGCTCTTGCTATAGCCATGGAACGGGGCAAAGGTGTCCCCGGGGGGCTCTCCACCTCGGTGGTGGTGATGGTGGTGATGGTGGTGATGGGAGGAGGGAGGGGCATGGCCACCACCCCCTCCGTGGCCCCCTGGGGGGCCTGGCCCATCAGCAGCCATGTGGAAGAGAGGGTTCTGAAAGGAGAGGGGGATACGCAGTTGCTGGGCAGGGACACCGTCCGTGGTGACACCCATCTGGCTGAGGCGCATGCCAGCCGCTGTAATGGACGAGCCACTCCCCTGGGAGAGGCGTCCAGCGGGCGCAGGCCGCAGCCCTAAGGCCGCTGTCAGGGAAGCCTGGCTCGAGTGCAGCAGGTCCCCAACGGCCGCCAGGTTGGACACACTGCTGCTGTTGAGACGGCCGCCAGGCCCGTCACCCTGCAAATCCAGCATGGAGACACTCTTGTTGACACTCAGCATCTTCTGCTCTGGCTCTGTGATGTCCGAGCTGCTCGTGCAGTACGCCGGCGAGGAACGGGCCAGCGGTGGACGGCTTACATAGAACAGGTCTTTCCCCCCACCAGGGGGCGGTGGGGGTGGCTTCTCCTTGGTTGGGGAAGGGAGGCGAGCCATGTCCATAGAGCTGCGGGAAGGGAAAGGGGCGTACAAGCAGGAGGTAAGGCCAACACCACCGGCAACTGAGCCTGCTGTGGTCTGGCACAGGCCTGGGGGTGAGAAGTGGGACCCACAGGGAAGGGAGGAGAGCTGGAGGTGGCAGCTCTGCAGAGGGCAGGTAGGGAGGGGATACATGGGAAAAAGGAAAGGAAAAGGCCTTTCCTTTCCAGGGAGGAAGTGAGACCTACAGGAGGGGAGATGGGGGCACCAAGATGGGGGATGAGGGGCAGGTCCCAGCAGATATGGAGGAGATGAGGGTGCATGGAGGAGAAGAGGGGAGGAGGAAGGTGAAGGCCACTGGAGTGGGAGCAGGGAGCAGACAGGAGAGGAGCGGAGGGTGGGGGAGGGGAGAGCCCCTCACCTGTTGAGGCCTCGAGCCATGAAGGACTGAAGGTCGATGGAGCTGGAGAGAGATGGGAAGAGGGGCGAGCACAGACAGAGAGAAGGAGAGAGGTGGGCAGAAGGCGTGGACGCATGGAAGGAGAGGCGGGAATGGTGGAATGGGTATGGCATCATGGAGGGAGACCGGGGCGGAGGAACAAGCAGGGCAGTCATCAGAATGAACAGCAGCCGAGGCCGCCACATCGGAGTGGATGCCAGGGCTCGGGAGGCCCTGCTAGGGTCCACATGTTACTTCTCTGGGGCTGGATCGTGGCTGAGGTCTGCAGGCTTCTGGCGGGGGGCTGGGGAAGTGCTTATTTACCAACCAGCACAGAGACAACTGAACGTTTTGACACGACATGGCTGATCTAACTTGTGTGGCTGAACCTCAGCTCTGGGACAGGCTTGGGCAGGCAGAGGGACAAGGCAAATCAGAGCTTGTGGCAGGACCCCACTCCCCACCCCCCCCCACCCCCACCCCCAGGCTTCCAGCAAGCTGGAGCTGGAGGAGCCTCCACACTCTTCCTGGGGCTCTGAGATTCCTGCTCCCTCTGGCCTTAAAGGGGCTCTCAGCCTAACCACGGACTATACCGGTCTCCTTACCATTTTCTGTGAGAGCCTGCCTCTTTTTCCTTTTAAGCCCTAGAGAGATGCACAGGGGCCCAGTGGAGTGTGTCCGGAACAGAAAAGTAGGGGCTCCTAGGGCACCGGTGTGGGGGTCCCAGGTGCTCACCTGTTGAGGTCCCGCATCATGTAGCCCTGCATCTCGGCCGATGGGCCTCGCAGCACCACAGGCTGAGGCCGGGGCCGCTCACTCTGACGGCTTGGCTGCCTTTGGATGTTGGGGTTCCTCAGAGCTGTGCTGATGTCATTGAGGAGCCGGGGCAGTGGGCCCAGCTTCAGAAGGGCTTCCTGGAAGGGTGAGGCTGTTACCTGGGGGCTAAGTGCCCAGCTCTAAGAGGACCTCAGAGGGTGCAGATGGAGGGTGTCTGAGCTGGGGGG